GAGCCTATAAATTGGGCTCGAGCTTGGCTCGAAGCTCGGTTGAAACCGAGTCGAGCCAAGCTTTTCACGAGCCGAGCTTGGATAGCTCGTGAAGAGCTCAGCTTGTGGCCACCCCTAGTAACCACTCTATTGGGATGTTTATTCAAAAAATAAAAAGGAAAAAACTTTATGTTGTTCCTTGAAGAGAATCTTGATGGTGTCTTTAGTAAAATAAATGCATCACAACTAGCAGTTATCTTTTTCAAGTCATGAGTAGGTTTTGATCTATAAATAAGAAGTTGATAACACTATGGAACTTTTTGGTAAAATCCAATATATATGCCTTTTTTGAAGGGAACCTTTTGCAATCTAATCATGATCAACACATTTAATTATTGAAATGCCTTCTTGGCTTATCATTCTTTTCTTTCTAGTTTGCATTTTTAAAAGGCATATCTTCTTGTCCATATAACTCCACCAATGTTAATTTGCCTTACACTATCTGTCCTAAGCCTAGATAAAGGGGGAGGGTTGTATCGGGTTGGCAGCATAGTTGTTAAGGCGACGCCTAGGCGGGCGCCTAGGCGATGCCTAGGCGACAAGGCGCCCTTGGAGGCTCGCCTCGCCCAGTCACCAAGTAGTTTTGTGCACTATGTTGTAAAATACTTTTATATTTTTAATTTTTTGACATTATAATTATAAAATAGGCATTATTAAACTAGAATACTCATTTTATGTGTTTATGTACTAATTTCTTTTTATTATTTTCTTATTTGTTAGGGTTTAATCAACACAAACATTGCTAACTGTTGTATTGAACCCATGGTTCAAAGTATCGATACACCTCTGTGTATCGACAGAGGTGTATCAGTACTTATAATGATACTCCCCCTATTTTTTCATTTCATTATATATATATATATATATAATTTAAAAAAATGGGTTCCCAAAAACACTTGTAAACATGTGTATTGGGGTGCCAAAGATACAATCCAATACACCCGATACGGGGCATATTGTATCGAAGTTTTGATCCTTGATTGAATCCTCAAAGAGTTCACAACCTGAACCAATAAGCAAGGGAAGAACTTAAAATTTTGTCTAATCAGCACATTTTCTTCTTACAGATCTTCTTCTTCCACCTTTTCTTTTCTTCTTTTCCTATAACAAAAGTAGGGGTTCAGCTCTTTTATTTTTTGAATTTTCTTTCCTTTGTTCCTTTTTTTCTCATAAAATGTTGATTTTCTAAACTTAAAACATGAAATTTATACTTCTCTTATGAAAATTATGGATAATTATTAAGGAAAGATGGTTATGGAACCTAGGGAACTACCCTAGGATATATGGTTTTACTTAAAAAAAAAAATCCATCGCCTAGGCACCCCCTGTCGCCTAGCCTCGCCTTGGCGCCTTAAAAACTATGGTTTGCAGCCAACATAAAAAACCTTTAGCCAATTCAATATGTTTAGAGTTCCCTATAAACTTGTGAAACAACAAAACTTTGGCAGTCTACTGTTATTTGGATTTGGCGATCTATGCTCTTTAACATTCTTCCAGTTCACAAGACTACAAATTTTGCATGCATATCTTCTATATTAAAGACAATTCATGATATGAATTGATTTGCAAGGGTTATAGTTACGGACAACATCTTGCCCTCACTTGATTTGCAAGGGTTATAGTTACGGACTTGTATTAGATCAAATACAACAAACAGAAGATTTAGATGAGCTTAGTTTTTTTTTTCTTTTTTTTTTTAATTTAATATCTTAGGTCACATTGATAACTTATTTTCCATATGCTCTCTCAAGACTAGGGGCAGATGTCTTGGAGAAAAATAGAATATTTTGACACCAGGGCATTTTTTAGGGGGATGTGTCTAGGGGTGCAAGTCAGGCTGGTTGGGTTGGGTTTATGGTCAACTTGGGCCTGACCCTAAAATTTGGCCTTAAGGCCCGAGCCCGGACCAAGCCCGAGATCAAGCCTGATTTTCCCAACCTGAGCCCAGCCCGCACTGTAATTTGATGCACTTGGGTTAGGCTCAGGCCTGGGCTGAGGCCGTCGAGCTCAGGTTGGCAATGAATCTACTCTAAAATTATACATATATGTATTTATGCAAATATGTATACATATATTTATGTATATATGTATGCAAAACTAACATATATATATACATATGTATATAGTTGGGCCAGGTTTGGGCTACCTAAGGCTAGGCCCGGCCCGAAAAATAAAAAAAAATCCCAATTTCTTGGGCCCAAGCCTAGCCTAAGGACCAAAAATCCAAGCCTGTGTTAAATTTCAGGCCGGGCCATTTCAGGCTCAGGTTGGGCCCACCCAAGTTGCACCCCTAGATGTGTCATTCTTCCCATGTACTGTAAAATGCTTTGTGATTAGCAAAGTAATGTTAATTACAAGGATACTCTTTATTGCTTTTATTTGTATACATAACGACTTTCCATGTTGTGTTATGATTCAGGAGTTCCAAGTGAGTTAATTGAAGACTCAAAATTTGTTCCTCTGAATGCTGATGATCCTAGATATGGTCCACCTGTAAGTTCATTATTTCCACACTTATTGTTGTTTTGTTGTGAACATTTCTGCATTCTCTATTTAGAAAATCTAAATGAACCTCAAGTGTTTACTGTTTCTTTTACAGGCCTTGTTGTTGTTGGGTTTTGAATTGGAGGAAGCAGTGAAGGTAAATGCTAATTCTATTTATTCTTAATGCTAATGTTCTATTTATATGTACAAGAAAGCTAAATCTATTTTTATTGGCCTGGAACTTCTTTGTATAGTGTGGAGAAACTGTACTACTAAATTATTAATCTAGTTCTTGGATACTCTCTTTATCTAATCAGTTTTTAACTGCATTCATGTATATGTTTTTGCAGATACAACAACTTCTAAAAGAGTTGGATGGTGAGTTTCTCAAGGTAACCTGTAGCAAGTATTATTTTGTTCTTCTTTAATGTTTTAGTTTGCCTTTCTTTTCTCTCGTTCTTAGTACCAAAAGTTTTTGAAATGGAAAATATTTGTTATATAACCCCTCTTTATGGCTCCACTTCATTAATTGGATTATTAAACGGAATTTGAATCTAACTTTTCATTTTATCATAGGTTATTTATTGCACTGAAGACATGATTGCTCACTCACTTTGGCAAGCAATACATACTGAACAATCCAATTTGGAGACTGTGAAGGTCCAATTTTTTACCTGTTTATTGGTTTCAATTATCTGGTTTTCCATCTCTTTTGTATCTTATCCACATTTTTCTGTCTTGGAGAAGGGATATACAAGTGACAAAACTTTCCTATATTCAATTAAGATTTTTCCTTTTCCAGCTAGTCCAGGTTTAAGTCAAAGCCTTTTTTTAAAAGGTTTAAAACTAGTGCTTTAAAATGTGAAAGCATCAGAGTAAGCACAAGAACCTGTAGACCTCCAGATGTTTGTGGTTTAACCCTCACAATCCTCAGTAAGAAAACTGAAATAAAAATTTGAAGTATAGTAAAATTCAAACAAAGTAATAATGGAGTATATATTTCTCCCACCATGCACGTGGATTAAAATTCATATAAAGACAGTGCTAGTTCTTCTAGATGTAAAGGCTTAATTGAGCTATGATACCCAGATGTGTATACTCACATGGAAAGGGATATGGGAAACAGGGATAAAATACAACTCTCCTTTTCATAAGATCTTGGACACAGTTAAAAGGGTCACTGCCCAATATTGGTCCAAGCTGTCTGTGGTCTTGGGAGGGGTAGACTGGATACGGTCTGATCCTTTAGCATTTTTTTTGCTCAAAGTGGCCTCTCTCAGGATTGAATGCCTGTTTGCTCATGTCATGCTTGTATATCTAGTTCTTGAAGTTAAGTGTTATTTCTCAGTACTTACATCTTGTCAAATTTAATTAAACTTGTAAAAAATTCTATAGTATGATTATTAAAACCTACCCTTTTATGTTTTACTATATAATGCTAATACTTGTGTTGACTTCCCGCCCAAGCCATAAAAGTTGAATAAAATATTGTAATATTATCATAAAATGACAATACCTGTGAACAATGATTATCCAAATATAATCTTTAAATCAATAATTGAATTAAGACATTTAAAGAAGTACAGTAAACAAAATTTCAAAATCTAAATGCCTTTTGAGCTTTTCACCCCTTTTATCTTTAGTTGCAATGTGCATGGCATGTGCCTTTGTGCTAGTCTTTTTAAAGTGTTAATGCTACAAGTATTCTGTACAAATGTCCATGCATATCTATTGTTGTATACTTGTATCAGGTATGTAGAATGCTCAAAGTTGGTATGCTAGGCATGTACAGGTACTTTAGTATCATAGGTCTTCAGTCCTGATTCTTTCTTAATAAACAACGAAGTAAATGAGGACTGACTACCTTTTCAGATGAAAATATATAAATGATCTCTATGATTGGTAACCGTAACCTTTATTAATCAGTGAAATAGAATGGAATATAGTACAAGTGTGCCAACTGCCAAGCACCCCATAGCCTATTTTTATATGAAAGAATCTGAGAAAAGATGGCACACTTTTGAGCTAGCAGGGGCTAGCTCAAAAGTTTCTCCCTATTTTTAAGAAGGAATATGAAAGAATCTGAGAAAAGACTAGTCACATCCCCTAGAGGAGTCCACCCACACCCAAAAAGTGAGAAGATCCCAAATTATAGAAACAGATGAACAAGAAATTATTAAGCAGTATGTAGTCTCACAACTTGCTTTGCAGAAGAAGCACATATGGCCGGACAAATACCAATAGGGTCTTCTCTTTTGAATATGGAGAAATATCAAAATGTTGAGGTAGAAAATTTTCTCTATTGGGAAATACATTTTCTGATCACTTATAAAAAAAAAACATTTTCTTATCAGTAATATATGGAAGATATTTATTTATTTATGTATAGAATTTCATCAATTTATGTCAGAAGGTGATTGCAAATTTTGATTCTAATCAATAGCTGCAAAATCATAGGAAAGCTTTATTGTAATAAGTAACCACAAATATTTCAGTGCCTGTTATAGAATGTCCTAAATGGAATATTAGTAAAGAAAGAAACTCTTAATTCCATTTTGGCTAGTGTATAAGAAACACATACTTTAGGAATCTCCTGAAGCTGTTATGCATGCACTTATCCTTTAAGGTGTGATCTTCAAAATGTTTTCCTTGAGCTTTTTCTTTCTTTGAGGTGAGTCTCAAGGTTTAAATACTACATTCCTTTTAAAGCACCACGTCAAATAAATCGAAGGTCACAATAACACTTGTTAACATTTAGTGTTCTGAAGCATCTTAATCCAAGTCCTTTTAAGTGTTTTTGTTTATGGTTTTGGGCAACCCATAAGCTGCTAAACTATTTATAAGATATCAATAACTCTCTTCAGTTGTAATGTAATTTATTATCCTCTTTTCTGTTCAGATTGCAAAATCACTGCCAAGGATTTGCTTCTTGTCTGGTCTTAGCGGCGAGGAGATGATGATGTTCATTGATGCATTTCCAGAAACTGGTAGTTAACACTTACATCTCTTTGGCAAACTAATTACTATGAAGGCAATATATAAAATTTATGTCATCTATTGCAGCTGTTATTGCACAAAAGGAATACCCTCATAGCCCCATTCTGTTGAGAGGTTTGTGGATGGTGCATACACACCATATGCATTCACATACACACATGCACATTTGCATGCAAACACACAGAGAAATGCTTACTCAACACAGCCTCAATTCCAACTATTTGGATCCAGTTACATGAATCCTGTGTTACATCATGCTCTATCAAGAGCCATGTAAAACAATTCAGGACTCATTCATATTGGATTATTGCAGCTGTCAACCTGACACAACCCTTCTCCTTCATCTGAGCTTGGGACAACCATTGTTTGACAAGATAACACTTGTAGTGTTATTGTCACACACACACACACACAAAAATGAATTATATCATAGTTTGTTGGAGTAGGGGAAGGAAAGCATGGGATATGGTTTTTCGCTTTCCAAGTTGAGCAATCATATGTATAATGTTGCAGGCCACATGTATTATATGGGTGGTAACTGGCTAACTGGTAAGATCCACTTAGAAACATGAAACTAGGTCCATCATTGTAGGATGGGCCACATGTCTTGTGGGGGTATCAAAGTTCAGTAAGAAAGATGGAGCACATTGTAGTCTTTTCTTCATTGCTTATTGATGTAGATCCAACTTTGAGAGAGATGTATCATGAGGTTTGGGATGATGTCTTTTTAATTCTGGTTCTACACAGGGCTGGAACCAGCTGTATTTGCAGCCCTTGTTCCTAATAGTGCAAATAAACTTCTACAAGAGGTGATTGAAGAGATTATGGGGGACCATGAAATGCTGGTAAGTGTCTGTTACCCAACTATTCTTTTGGTGAACTTTGTACTGCCTTGCTGAACAATTTTAATTTCCATGCAGTCTGCAAGACAATCACAGTCGCCATAGGAATATTTGGGTAGAGACATGAAGAATATCTGCGTATGAGATTTTTCATTAGTTGTACAGTATATGTTCTGAACATGGCTCAATTTTGATTCCCAAATGCAATTTCCCTACTCCCCCTTGTATAAAAAGATGTGGAGTCAAAGTTTTGTATAATGAAGTTCATCTTCCTGCAATGCCAAAGAACATCCAGAGAATATACTTGGGGAACCAGCTAGAAGAATCACTGGCCACAATCATAAAGCTACTTAAAGTCCCAAACTAAGCCATCTGACTTTGATGGAGTATTGCTCAGACATGAAAGATCTGATGAAGTTTCACCGCCAAATCTATCACATATGGCCTTGCCAATGAAACCATAATCCTTGGCACTCTTCTATCCTTGTTCACAATCCCACTGTTGGAGATCTGCCCTATGCTTGTTTAGTTTCCAATCAATTAGATTACCCAATAAGTTCATGCTCAATACCATGATCAGAGGCTATGCTTGGAGCCTTATTCATCAAGAAGCCATTTCTGTTTATGTTTACATGCTTCATTCTGAATTATTTCCCAATAAATACACATTCCCCTCATGCTAACCTTTTTCCGGGGAGTGAAGCGCAGGGTGCCCCAGAGCGGAACGGACTAAGGTAGCTGTTGTGAGTTGTGAGGCCCCGCCGATTGAGGGAATAGCTCACTACGTGAGCGTACTCTTTTAAATATTAGGACAAGAGTGATGTTGTTAATGCCCTTGAGTTGCTGAACGTTATGATTTCTATAACAAAGTCGCTGACGGTGTAAGACCCACCTCCATACGAAATCTGGTCGAAGTAGGACCTGTTTCGACAAACTGACAACCTGATGGAGGCATTGCTCAGTCTCACAGGACAGAGGCGAGTATGAAGGGAAGGAGTTGAAGCCCTAATGGAGAAATCAGAATCTCTAAGAAATCCCAATCTAGAGTAGAGATCATGAAGGGTACCAAGCCAATGGTAAATTACACCGGTCCGGTATTTACACCACAACGCAGCCTAAGGTCTTCAATCGTGAAATTATCGTTAGAGATTGGATAATAAGGAAAAAAGAATGGTGGTATGAGAGCTCTGATTACTGCAGAACTTACAGTGTCAGCACTTTGATAGCTTGGGAAGTTTGCATTTCCCCACCATAATCAGAAAATACAATCTACAAGAAACTGACTCCATAGCAATTGATACGTTGGGAGGAGAAACCAGAAACCCATCATCCATCATCTTAAGTAAATAAGAACATTAGTAAGAAACTAATAAGCCCCCGTTTGGGAGTGTTATTGGATAAATAAGTCGTTATCCAAAGTGTTCATGAGTATGGGGTAATATAGATATTTTGAAATTTTTGTGGCAGCTGGCAGGCCAAGACCACCAGAAACTCAAATAAACACTTGTTGAAAAATCCGTTAAAAATAAGTCAAAAATTTTGGCTTCCTCAAAATAGACTTATTTTTTTGGAATAATCACTTATTCTACTTTTTCTTCTCCAAATACATACAAGTGCTTATTATTGTAGTTATGGTCTAAAATAAGTGATTAAAAATAAGTACTTCCGAAGGACTACGAATTTTTAACTTTGAACTATAGGGGTAGTACTTGTTGAATGGATGAAATTAGTATTTACTCATCAAATCGGGACTAAATCTCTATTACCAAAAAAAAATAAAAAATCAAA